TTTGCTTTATGGATTTATAGATTGATGTATCCCTTCCACAGTACAAGAAAAATATTTATTTCAAATATTTTAAGTAATTATGTAAGATAATTACTTTAAGTCGAAAAATTTTACAAATTGGAAGATTGAATTATTTTATTAAAGATACAATAAGGGCATTAGTGAAATGTTTGAATTATAGATTATTGAACATCTTAAGTGATTAGAGGATAAAATAATTATCCCTTGAAAGCTAAAAAATACAATAATAAAAATACAAATAAAGAAATAGAAGAAAACTCACTTTATTAAAGTTTATTGATTTCCGAAAGTTAACAACAAAAATTTTGAATTGAATATTGCATGGTGATTAGTTTACTTTAGTTCAAAGAAAAAATATCTCAATATAAAGTGGGTGTAAATTCGTAAAAATTACAACAATAGATAGTGTATTAACATAATTATCTGGTACATGTGTCAAAACAATCCTGGTGTTACTGTTAATAATTTCGTTGTTTTTGCCGTTAGTAATGACATTTATGTGAGGATGGCAATAACTATTTGCAGATTTGGAGCACTTGTAAACATTTGTAGTTATAAGACATATAGTGCCTCAAATAGTTTTATAGTTACATAATTATATGGTATATTCACCAAAATAGTTTTGTCATTTTTAAACAGTGGCATTTGATGTGTAGATGATGCTGTTGATAGTAACATGCACATAAAAATGTTAAATCTCATGTTGAGTCTGTTAATAATATCTTAAGATTTATATTAGATTTATACAGAAAAAACGTAATATTTAAAATGTCGCAGACTATTCCAAAAAATCATGCCTTCATTTCTTACGTTACATACTATTTGCTAATGTCTGCTGGAATTGTTGCGAAAAAGTCATGCCTGGTTACTTGGTCGTTGGCATTATACTTTAATGTGACTAAAATCACTAAAGTTTACAAGTATTTGTTCTGTATAGCTAAAGGAGAGCACGTGTTCGATTACTATTTGAGCATAATATTTCAAGATATATTCAGCGGACTGCTTTGGTGGAATATGTTTTTTAAACGAACAAACATACTATTGCTTTCTGAATACATAAGCAGAAGAACAAGCTATGAGTACCAAAAAAAAGTTGTCATTTTGATGTTCGTAATCTCTCCAATTTTGCATCCAATTATTCCTTACACTTTTGACAAATTTCTTTTCGTGATAAAAAGGGATAATTTTTCTGCTATTTTCTGTACACATTTTAACATAAAAGAAAATTCCCTACCGACAAGTTTACTAGTAACTTTCTTAATCGATTGTACATCATGTTTTAGCGACGTCCAAATCTGTGTCGTTACAATATTTTTATTTATTCTCTATTGCAGCATGCTTCTCGAAAAAGGTACTCAAGACAATCATGTAATGTTTCTAGGGTTTCATGTAAACTCGTGGGGGCATTTAAAGCATCTTGTAAAGTCGGTAGAAATGCTGGAAGATTATATGTCACTTTCTATTCTTTGGTTGATATGTAAATCAACTTTGAGTCTTTTCAACCTAACTGCTTTATTGCTTTCACCTCGCGGTCTGTCATACAATAAAACTGGATACACAATTTTAAACATTCAAATAAAATTTTTAATTTTTGTGCTCATATTAATGGGTGATTTTGCTCAGAGAAAATGCATTAAAAGCATTGAAGAATTTTTTTCAAATCCTGCTTATTTCGATCGGTATGGTTTAAACTATGTCGTGTATCATAAAATGAAGAATTCCTGTGTTTTGACTGCTTGGAAGATGTTTACCATAGACAGAGGTTTGTTAATTTCGGCATTAACAGCAATTATTTCTTATGGTGTTATCATATATCAGTTTAAAACATGACATATTTTAAAGAATTTTATCTTGATTATTACTTTTTTATCATATTTGAAATTATTTTCATTATTAGGCACTTATTTTATCATCTTTGAGACTTCAAATCACTACTACTTGAAACTTTACTTCGCAACTTACGTCTTTTCAAAATATTTCTAAATTATGACTTTTTCATTTAGAAGAAATAGTTTCATAAATGTAAAAATTATAGGGTTTTTTCTCTATTTTTTACATTTTGTCAAAAATGCAAAACTATACTGTTGCCGCGCCAAACCAAGTAGGTTTGCCACCGACCGTAATACTTTCCAGCCATGTCTCTCGCAACATCCAAGCCACTCGCCACCTAAGCCACTCGCAACATCTACAAGTGAATAAAAAATGAAAATAATAGGTTTGATGCGGGAAGTCGGGTGGTGAGGACGTAAGAAGACCCCATTCCTTAGTCCCATATCTATTTCATACGTACTATTGAGTACGACCTCTCATTGCAAAGATCCGTTATAACGACTGAAGCATTAAATCCCGTTAACTATTCTACCAATGCAACGTCATTTTAATGTCATTGGAATGCCCGCACTGAAACGTTCATCCCGATATAGCGACCGAAATTTAGTCAATTAATTTAGAAAAAGTTGCAAAGAAATTATTCATTATTTCCTTCTTTTTCTACACAAGAATTTTAAACACCTTGAGTGTCCATTGAATGAAAGAAGAATGACATGTCCACCTAAGTTTTTGCTTAAATTCTAGGTCGTCATAAATTATGTTCGTTTATAATCTGTGTAACTTTTTTTCAAAAGATATAATAAATCTGTTAATCAGACTTTTCGGGTTTGAAAATACCGTTCACAAATTTTGTAAAATATTTAGATGATTTATTTTCGATTTAAAACAAGTGATTTTCGTAGTTATTTTGACGAATATTTTTTATCAAACATGGCTTCCCAAACAAGTATATTATTCCTAAATCATGTAAAAAGAGCACTACTTATTAATAAAGAAAGTAAGAGGCGTTATTACTCATTTTTTTGTTACTTACTGATTTCTTACTAAAGTAAAAAATATTGCTTTATTGAAATTAGTAAATTATGCTTTTTGCTTCGAGTTAATAATTTTATATTTTTATAACAGTAGTTGAACAGCCGACCCAATTTTTGGGTTTACGACTGCCAAAGTTAAACTACGTAGCCTTGTTATTTTGAGCCAACATGGAAGACAATGGTACTCCTTGATCAAGTATTGGGAGAAATTTGCCTTCGTGAAGGACGTTTTGATGGAACTAACTTGAATTTGCGTGATATCGAGAGGTAGACCACGAGAAACTCTCACAATTAATCTGACGGCAATGGGTCTCTAACCCATGATCTGTCTACCACTGATAATATTTTACTTTAGCATTGTAATCGGTGCATGCCGGATGCGGAATTCGTATCGACCAGTCGTCGATGAGATTCGAACCAGGTTCACCTCATTGGAAGGCGAATGTTCTATTTCCTGAGTCATCGCGTCTCTCGAGTTAATATTTTATGTCATAACCGTCGTTGAACAGCCTACCCAATTATGGGTTTACGACTACTATTGTTCAACTCCGTAGCCTTGTAATTTTGAACCAATTCAGAAGACAAGGAAACTTCTGGATAAGTACCCTTAGAGGTATGATTTGTTATGGGAACATGGAGGACTTTGAGACTCGACAGAGTTAACGTGCATCAGTCGCTATTTACTACACACTTCGGCCGACGAGGATCGAACCCATGCCCTCTTGGACATGGGCCCAGTGCCTTACCAAGCAGGCTAACCCGGCCCCAAGTTAACATTTACGGTATTTGTGGGTGTTTTGTGTACTCACGAAATAACGACCTCATATTTTACGTTCGTCTTCACTCGTACCACAAAGATCGTTAAATCGATCACCGACTGTATTATAGCAGTGTAAATATAATCACGCGTTATCAATATCAACAGATGAGAAATAGTTAAAACTTAGAAAATAAAGAAACTAGAGGAGCTAAACAGTTTTACGTATCTTGGAAGTATAATTAACAACAAAAGATGAACTGACGAAGATATGCTAAATAGATTAAACAAAGCCCGACGCAGTTATATCCACAATAAATTCTGCAAAGCAAAAACATAACTAATTAACGAAAATTTGATTTTCAATACTAATGTTAAATCTGTCCTACTTCATGGATCTGAGACTTGACTCTGCAGTAGCAGATTGAGAAGAATCTTACGTATTAAGAGGTTTTATAAAATTTGCAACGCTGATATCTTTAGAAAATCAAGACAGAAACCAATTAACAGAAACCACAAATTAAAATATGTAAACGGAAATGGATTAGTCACGTCTTTTGAAAACTTGAAATATTTAAAGTAAAACAAGTTCTTGATTGGAGTCCTCAAGGGAAGGAAAAGAGAGGGAGACATTTAAATTACTTGGCGCAAGGTGAATTGAAATTGGGTTAAGTGAATTGAAAACAATAGGTAAGTCATGAAGAGAGGTAAAATATCTGAACACAAATAGACTAAGATGGAGAGCTATGATAAAAGCCCTATGCTCCAATTCGAGGCGAAAAGAAATATGTTTATGAGGCAACATAATCATTTTCGTTTGTAAATAAAAGGTTGATTGATTAAATGTTTCCAATGGACATTTTTTTACAATTACCACACCCTAAATTTTATGCCTCAAATCGAGCATACAACACATATTTTTTTCTCCATAGAACATTACTTATTTTTAAACTAATAGTCCTATTGACTTGATCTCATTCATTGATCAAGATCATATTGAGTTTGATCTCATTCATTTCAGTAAAAAATAATAACAAACATTTGTAACAATACTTCAATTATCTATTTAGCAATGGTTAAGTCTTAATCCATCCCAGAACTTACTATACATTAAATCCTAGTTTGGAAAAATTCTTATGTGACTGAAAGCGTTGGATACCATATAATATGAATAATATAAAAATGCTTATTAAACAATAAAAAAATCAATTTTTGCATTGCAAAAATTTTTTTCTAACTCAAAATTTGTAGAGCTATGTTATCAGAAAAAGAAAAAAAAAGATATTATTAAAATTAAAAATGCAGGACAAATTTTTTAATCACACGCATTTCAGATGGATTGACATCGTATAACAAGATCACTTAAAATTTACTACTTTATTAAGTCTGAAAATACTTGCGCAACTGCGGAAAAATAACAATAAAACATTTTTGAAAAATGTATATGATGTTTTATTTTAGAGAAAATAAATGTTTCGTTTTTATATTTCAATAACAGTTTGTGAGTCCTCCATCAATTGGCAGGATAACGCCCGTAATCATTGATGCTTTTTCACTTAACAAGAATAAAATAGGATCCACAACATCTTCTATTTCTAAAAACAAACATAAAAATAATGCATTGATTTTAATAATTGTCTCCTTAATACCGATTAAGTACACATAAACATACAACTAAACACACACACAGATATATATATATATATATATATANTATATATATATATAGATAGATAGATAGATAGATAGATAGATAGATATATTCATATTCTCGAGAATTTTAGTTGCGTTGGTCATTTATCATGAAGGAGAATAATAAAGGGGGCAGTAAGTTTCTTACACTGTAAAATATTCGGGATCAAATTACCGAAAAAATTAACTGTCACTCAGGGTGCCAATACTTTTTACCGTAAAATCTATTTCTGCCAGAACATGTTACGGAACAAAACCACTTGCACTGACTATTGGTTGCACTGACAGAGCATCCAAAAGTACATTAACAAACTTCTAATAAGGCCAACTGGTTGATTTTAAGACAGATAGGTTATATTGACTTATAAAACTAATGTGAAATTTTTCAATTATCTAATCAAAGTCCTCACAAAATCGAGTCATTTCATAGACATCCTCCGTCTTACACTGGACTACGAAAGGGGAAAATACCAAGCGCAATGTTTTATTCACTAGATTGTTGTGAATCTTATATCATGTATCGTCTTTCTGAAATTGATCTCGAGAAATCGCTGTGAAGGGGATTCCTTACAACTGTTGTAGAATAGTGTTGAAGAATAGTTGCAGAATAGTGTCGTTATGTACTAGATAAATTCATAATCAAAAATGAATCCAATCTACAGAAACAAAAGACAAAGAAGTAAATTAACAATTAAAACATTAAATCAAAATGGAAAAGTGCCAAAAGCAGCTAAAACCAAATTTGTTTTATTTTAATTTAGATATTCAAACATTTAAAGCAGGAAAAAGTAAAAAAATGTGATAAAATAAAAGATATGTGTGTTTGTAAGACAGCACTTCTTCAGGGGACACACTACCTACAAACACACTGGGGCCTTTTTGTTGTCAGCGGAAAGATCAAAACTGACAATGCCCATAATGAATAGACATATACGAGAAAATCATAACCAGAATTGAAAATCACAGAAAAATAATGATCTTATCTTGAATAATGAATATTATAATGAATCTTATTTGTCTATCCATTATGGGGCCTCGGGACACTGTCAGTTTTGGTTTTTCCACTGACAACAGAAAGGCTCCTGTGTGTTTGCAGGCAGTGTGTCCCCTGAAGAAGTGCTCTCTTACAAACACACATATCTTTTATTTTATCACATTTTTTTACTTTTTCCTGCTTTAAATGTTTGAATATCTAAATTAAAATGCTAGATAAATTGTCACAATTACTTTGAACTCTGGAGAAAAATAAAATATTGCGTATGAATTGGCTAATAAGCTTCCAGAAGAAATATAGAAAATTTCCTAAGTATAAATCTGCTTATGTTATGTTTATAAGGTAATGTGTGAACAGGCTTGATATTCTAGAAAGTTTGTTATTGTGATTTGTATTTAAATTTACACGTGCTTTTTACCATTTATAAGACTTTTCTGTTGTTAATTATTCTAAGAGGTCGTGAGCCGTAAATAAATTTGAGAAAATCAATATCACAATGACATGTGAAAGGTTTGCCATGTTTTGTATATAATCCCTTATTTAGCTGCACTTCTGTAAAATAATATTGTTATTGTTTGGGTATCATCGTCGCTTGGTCGTGGAACCTTCTGAATTCGTTTGCTGTTTGTTTCATTGAAAATTTCATCGAAAGAAGTCATTATATCTATTTGCCACTACATTCTAAACTCTACATGTATAATAATATTGCAGGGCGATGTGATTTTTCAAACTTAGACGTAAAATTAAATCGAGAGTTGTAACCCGGATATTTTCAGACTAATTTTAACCCTTAGCGTCACCTGTGTTTAGTTTTATACTGTTATCCTTCTCTTGAACTCCTTCTCCCTAGATGACTTTGCACTCTTCATCTCACTACATGGCAGACGACTTTTCCCCAATAATTTTTGGCAAAATTTTTTTGACACATCAGACAATTAAAATGTAAAATAGCGAAATTTTTCTCTAACTGACATGGTCATTAAATCTTGAACAATTACAATTACCAGAATTTCAGTAGCTGATGAACACTTTATAAACACTTCTTTATTTATACGGCAGTTAAGGAGTATCTATAACTCATGACTGTTTATTAAATAAAAATTATCTTAACTGGCGTAGGGAAAAGGCTAGATTTGTGGATACCATGGTAAGAGAAAGCGCATAACTTTGAAAAGCCCATTCTATTTATAAAGACTACAATGTCGGGTAAATTCGCAATCGCACCACTCGAGTGTGCCATCTGGAGGGTAAACCGGTTCCATGTTTAGAGCCGCCCTTTTTCCCCCTCCCAGCGGGTCACCGAAGTCAAGCATCACTGGCTGCGGTCAGTGTGCGGGTGCGTGACCTACTTGGATCAGTCTGCGTAGGGACCGAGGGTGTGCGGTATTGGTCCTCGTTAAACTGTGCTACCGTAAAGTGCTCGACTTCGCGTGCAGGTCGTTGGGGTACCGAAGCAGGGGTGCCATCCCCGAGGATCAAAAGGCTGTGGATCAAAAGAGGCATGCAGAGGATCAAAATTGTGATGACATGTCTTCGGATCATCCTCAGGGATGTTTCCACCGTCGCCAATAGCCCATTGTGTAGCTCTAGTGTGACGTAAATGAACTACAACAACAACAACCTTCTTCCCCCTCCTCCTCTGCAAAGATGGAGGGAAACGTATAACACTGTTTCCCTTTTTCATATTATTTTTCGCATTTAGATTATCAAAAATATGTTTTTAATTTCAATGTTTAATACAGTGTTTAGTTTCATAAAGCTGCATAGCTTGAATTTTTTTAATCGATTTGAAAATCAAGACAGAAACTGTCGCACTTTGTCCTCCTATGACTATCCACACGCTAATATTGAAAGCATGCTTAGTATCACAATGGATACAAAGCTCAACTATGCACCACCTGTAGCCCATTTCGATTGACAATAAGAAATGGAGCGTCATTTTACCGAGCTGGCATTGATTTTACCGAGCTTATACACTAGGTATGTCACACCTCTTTCAATAACTTACCTCCAAATTTTCTCAAAGGTGTTCGTTCCCTGAATTCCTTTCCCACTTCATTACTAGGATCAAAATACTCTTCGGCCATTTTAGTGCGGATAAAAGTGGGATTGACTGAATTCACTCGAATCTAAAATTTTAAACAAGCAAAATTTTTAATAATTATAAATATAAATAGCTTTCATCATTTGAGAAAATTATGGATGATAATTATTCAAATTTTAGTTTTAAAATTGTTATTTAAAATACTTTAGGTATTCTTTAATATTGAAAATTACTATCGGACACGCTTATAACGCGCACGAAGAGACCGCAATGTTTGCTCGTTACAACCGAGTGCTTGTAAAAAACTGGTTTGGGGAAAAATCATAAAAGTTCAAGCACACTTGCTTAATTAGAAATGCTGTACTTAATTTTTTTTTATCTCTGTACAATAAAAAGAAGATAGTTATTTTGATATGAACTGCTTTACTGCATATTCATTCTTGTTGTTGTAGTAATTTTCGTATAAGACTCATGTTTGAAAAAAAATAATCGACATTGAAAAAATAATACGTTAACCCAAAAAATATCCAAAGGAAGAAAAAAAAATTTAGCTAAAGTCGGAATTAATTAAAAGTTTCACGAATCAAAAAAATATTGCGCGCCAAAACCGGAATAAACTTGTTAAAGGCGATCGAGCTATGCTTCAATAAACTTAGCATTGTACCAACCACGTGTTTCCGATTTGTTCAATAAATCCGAGTACTCGTTAAGTTGGAGCTCATTATAAGTGAGTTTAATTGCAATTTAATTAAAAGAAATTTTTAAAATATATATATTTCTTATCAGTGAGTGTATAAAAATATTAATAACTTCGTTAAAATTTTTCTTTTTTTTCTCAGTGTAATGAAAATTTTTTGTCAGCATTTTATCACCTAAACTAAACTCAGTGGCGCTACAGTCAATAGAGGGGCAAAGCCTACTGTGCTCATCTCAGTTTTATCGACCTTATTTCGCAAGGGTGCAAGAGCAAATGTTCCGGTTGGGCAGTCAGCCCAACGCGGAACCCCTAGTGTTTAGTTCCCAAACATTATTGGTACTCATTTTATCAACCCGCTGAAGGGATGAAAGGTTGCGTCATTCCAACCTAGGATCGAACCTAAGACCTGTAGCATGACAGCTCAAAGCGCTACCACTCTGCCACTGGGTGATGCATTTTATCAACAGTTTCCATGAATTTCGATGATCATAGCAACGGGAAAGAGTTTAGTTCTCTTCTAATTATATAAAATGAATCACTGAGAATTTATTAGGCTTATTTTGAGCTAAGTCATAATCTATTACTTTTATTGAACATTTAGAAAAAGAAAAACTTCTTGAAAATTTCATTTACTTATGGTTACTAAATTAAGGCTAAAAATATTTAATAAATATTACTTGATGGGGTCCAAATTGTGCCGTCATACATCTAGTTAGTTGATTAACTGCAGCTTTGCTTGTAGCATACACTGCACTTGTAGGAGCTCCTAATATACCATCAACGCTTGAAACGTTAACAATTGATCCTCCTTTTCTTCTCTTTCTCATCTGATTAGCAATCATCTGCAATAATGCATTCATGAAAATTATCATTGTATTTATTTATTTATTATTGGGAATAAAATTAAAAATGAGGCACTTGTGGAGCTAGGGTTCTAACAAAAAAGCGGAAGCTTGGGATCGCTTAGAATGGTCTATATTTTTTGATAAATTTTACAAACAATTGACATAGTTTTTAACTATTTGAGTGCTTTTGTGTAACTATTGAAATAAATAAGGTGTTTTCTAACTAGTACTATTATAAGGCTTGAATGGAACTTTGCTATGAAGTGTTGTGAAGTTTCTCTTTTTTCTTTCTAATGTCTTGTTACATAGGGCTAGCTGGAATTTCAACCCATCGAGATCATACAGCCCAATGTCACACAAGGAACAGTTGGCAGAAAAAAATTACAACAAGCTCACACAATATATAAATTAATTAATTAACAAAATAAATATAAGTAAACATAAACCTGATAGGATTAAACAAAGGAAAAATGAAGGGTTTTCATGAAAAAGGACGGTTAGTGTTCGATAGATAATAGTAGTTTATAAAAGTTCTAGCTATCCGATGTCAGGTGTAGAAATGGGTGTAAGTAAAAAAATTCCTTTCTCTCATAAAGTGAAATATTTGTCCTATCAACTAGAATTGGTTTCGTTCAATTCAGCGTTAAAAACATATTGGAAACAATCCCACATTTCTTTAGTTGGCAATATTTAAATTTGTCTCTCTTTTACTGTCTAGTTCTCATCCTCATTCTCTTCTTAATCAGAGATCTGCACTTGCTTTTTCTTCGTTTTTTGTTTTACAATGTATAAAGAAAGTAGGATACAATTCATAATATTTTTTAATAAAACTGCAGGCAATATATACACTACCCTTTAAAAGTTAAGCCACTACTTGATTTTTTAATTGACTAAAGAATAAAGTATATCGATGCACGCAAATTGCAAGGAATGCGCACTAAGCACTTCATTTTTGATTGTCACATAGAAAATTGCATAAATACAAACACAATCATAATTTAAAAAAAAAAAGAATCTAGGCAGAAAAGTCCCCCCAGGAAGAAAACAACTATACATCCCACTCTTACAAGAAAATTTTCTGTGAAATAATTGGTTAATGTAATGTAATGCATTAATGAATGTGCCCCTTATTGCAATGCATGGGTGGTCCTTGCTAAGTTGGGGGCAAAAGAGGAGAGGCAAAAAGTAGATACAAAGTAACATTTTCAATGGATGTAATTACCATTGAGGATGATTTCAAGCTACAGCTTATCTGCCAATATAGAGCCAAACATCCCCCACCCAAAAAAAAAAACTAGATCCGGAGATCTACGTGACAAATTTCAGAAATTTCTCAGTAATCAGACCAGTAAAAATGACTCTTTTAAGTCGTAGGGGTCATGCGGTCATCCCCCTCTTCTGCCCATCAAACTTTTGCTTCGGTTATAGTTGGTCCCGCAGTGGACTGATCGTTAAGACACGGTTCCCAGCAGATCACCGAAGTCAAGCATCACTGGCTACGGTCAGTGTGCGGATGGGTGACCACTTGGATCAGTCTGCGTAGGGACCGAGGGTGTGCGGTTTGGGTCCTCGTTAAACTGTTCTACCGTAAAGTGCTCGGCTCCGAGTGCAGGTCGTCGGGCTACCGAAGTGGGGGTGCCATCCCCTCTGCAGAGGATTAAAATTGTGATGGCATGTCTTCGGATCATCCTCAGGGATGTTTCCCAGACCGTTCCCCACAGCCCATTGTGCAGCTCTAGTGTGAGGTAAATGAACTACAGCAACAACAGTTATAGTTGATTTTTCAAATAGTGAATAGTAGCTAAAAGATCCCTAACTTCTACTTCCGATTTTCCTACACGCGCGAGTAACTGTATAGATTACGTTTACGATGAACTTTCGGTTTATGCGCTAGTCAAATACAATGAAAATGTTCCATACCAAAGTATCAGTCAGAGATACACCATCTGCCATCCGATGTCAGATAAGAAATCAATCATTACAGAATGTAAGTTTGATTGTTTGAGAAAAGATCGTGATGGAAGGCCACACGACTCCCTGTCTTTACAAGATGTACTGTTACTGGTTTGTCTATAACCACAAAAAGTGTCTGTGTTTTTGGAGTGATTTTAATATTTTTTTATTATCCAGTTGGTTCTTACTACATTTCAAAGGACTAGGAAACAAAAGTCTCATCATGCCAAAGATTTCACGGAATATGAAGATACTCATAGGAGGGACTGGTCAGTCATATCTCTAGACCTGAATAAGAAAGTGAACTTTTAGGACTATCTTGGCTTACAAGCTACTTTGCTGAGTTCCTTTTCCTAGCAATTGTTGAAAAAGATGAAACAAAGGTTGTATATTCCATGCCTGACTTTCACTCCTCATTTAGTTCATTATTATATTTCCTCATTTTACTTTTGAAAATGATGGCAAAACGGGAATTTACATAAGCTTACATTTAGCAATTGAGAATGAACTACTTCTGAATTACTAATGAATTTAGTTCACAATTTCTTTACACTACTTGATTCTATGTTCATTCGCTTTCAATTTAGACACTGAAAATTAATTGTTTCTTAACTTTTGGAAGGCATGCGGAATTGCGAAACCTATTTTAATCGCTATAAATTATTGAACATTTTATAATTGTTTTCTATTAGAAGACTAGGCGAAAAATTTTGCATTTCAGAAGAGAGAATAGTTGAGACGGATGCGTTTTGTTGTAAATAAATCTGAAATCGTAATTTTTTTCTTTCTTTTTTTTTTGCTCAGCACAAATGTAACTCGTTAATTGCTAGATTAGCGTGTTTGTTAAATGGTAAGTACTCTTTGTTTCCATATGCTCTGCAGTTCAGGTTGATCTACAGATACTACGATATTTCTTCTGAAAATTACTGACAATAAAAGTTTCTCTCTCCCTATGTGTGGTAAAATTTACAAAAGAAAAAAGGAATTATTTTTTCATAATAAATCTCTTACAGGCTATCATTGTTAATATTCCATACACTCCGAGACTATCGCGTCTCAAACAAAGAACAAAGAAGCCACCAATATATATATATATATA